CTTTCTTTCTTTCTTTCTTTCTTTTTTTTCAAAATTTTATTGATAAACAGCAATGAGACAGTTTCAAATCAAATCGAAAGTACAGATTCAACAAATTTCTTTCTTTCTTTCTTTCTTTCTTTCTTTCTTTCTTTCTTTCTTTCTCTCTCTCTCTCTCTTTCTTTCTCTCTCTCTCTCTCTTTCTCTCTTTCTTTCTTTCTTTCTTTCTTTCTTTCTTTCTTTCTTTCTTTCTTTTTCTTTCTTCTTTTTCTTTCTTTTCAGAACTAGAGATTGAACTCAGGCCTTTGCACTTGCCAGGGATGTACTTATTCTACTGAGCTATCTCCCTGGCTCCAAGCAACATTGACTTTCAGAAACACTTTAAAATTAGGCAGTCTGAACTAAACACACCAAGTCTAATTCAAAAAAGACAATTTAAATTTCTTGAGTTGGAGAACATCTCAGAGGATTACTTATCCCAAATTTCTTTTCATAAGAACCAATGGAGGTTTAGGAATACACAAATTTGACTTAAACTGAAACTTTTGATCCAGACCCCTGAATTTTTTAAAAACTGTCAAATTTATTATTCACCAAATTCTAATATACTACACACCAGCAGTGCATTACATATTTTCACTAGTTGACTTAGTATTTACTTACTGGAGTATATAAAGGGAATTTATTTATCTATTTACTTATTTTTATTTTTTCATAGGTGCTTTAAACAATTTATTTAACTGAAATGGACTTACATTTGTTTCTTAGGTGACGCCCATTTGTTTTGGTACATCTTTTCACCATGGTGATCTACAGGATCGTCAAGTCAATATAAATATTTGAATATTTGGGTATACACCTGCACAATACCTCAGCAATATCTTTCAGCAAGAAAAATACAGGAAGAGTATAGGCTAGACACAATTACTAGGTACAGTGAAAATCTACTGCAAATATTTCTAAGGTAAGAAAGCACCACATATCTGGTCAACTAAGAAAACCACCCTTACATAACAGGATGACTTTATTTTTGCATAGGATCTAGAACACTTAAGCTGCTAATTGGGTGCTGAACAGCAGAGCAACATCCACAGTTTATGCCATGAATTCATAGAGAATAGGTTCCAACAATTCAGGTTCCTTTCCACTGGTCCTCGCAAAATGCCCTTCTCTGGGAGGGGCAGGCTGGTGCTTCAGATGAACCCAGGTACCTTTCTCTTTGGCTTCCTTCTTTTTCTAATCACTTAACACATTTCAGGAAGCTATCATGACTTTTTGAGTGTTTAATATGCTCATTATGCACATTAATCCTCTTGGCAAGTATCTTGCTTTTAACTTGCTTGTTTACAACAAAGCCAACAGCATGCTGGGTAACATTGTAGACTTTTCCTGTTTTACCATGGTAACATTTGTGAGGCATTCCTTTTTTGCACAGTACCCATTCCCTTGATGTCTACAATCTCACTCTTTTTGTAGATTTGCATGTATGTGGCCAAAGGAACAGCCCCATGTTTCCTAAAAGGCCTGGAGAATATATACCAGGTTCCTCTCCTCTTGCCCTTTGTGTTAGTCATTTTGACAAATTACTGGAAGATGGTGGCACCAGCCAAAGGGCTTATTTATTTATTTATTTATTGTATTTAGGATAGGGTCTACAAGGTCTACAGGGTCTCACTATGTAAATTGGACTTGCAGTGATACTCCTGTTTTTCAGCCTTCCAAATGCTGGGATTATAGGTGCACACCACCATGCCCAGTGTCAATTGCCATTTCAGCACACTCCGGGGGCAGGGCTGACAGGGCATGCTCGGGATTGAACCCTGGCCTTTGCACTCTCCCTAAGCAGGCGCTTTAGTCTACTAAGCTATCTGACTGGCTATAAAGGGAATTTATATTAATA